ATAGCTTGAAGAATATTGTCAATAATATTTTGTAGTCGCATAGTATAGCTAGAAGAAGATGTAAGATTCAGAAGAGATTCTGCTGTACTCAAGTCATGAAGAAGAAAATGCTCCACAAACTCACAAAGGTCTCCTGATGTTGTCAAAAAATCACGTAAAGCATTTATAGGATGGGAATTCCATGGATCCAAAATCATCAAAACATCCTTCAGAATAAAAAAAGACGGAATCACAATGAATGTCATCCAATGATAGGTAGACAACAATCATAGTAATGAAAACAATAATGACCAGTTTCACGAGAGACTGTAGTCGATCATAGAGAAGTGTCGAGAAAGGACCAAATCATGCAGATGGGAGACCCAATCGTCAAAGTTTGAATGGACAACAATCGGTATGAATATATAATGGGACGACATGAACTGACTAGGAGAAACGAACGAGAATAACGAGAGATTCGCAAATCGATGTGCAATCAACAAAATGTTTATAATTGGCACAATATTTCGCCACAAATGCATGAATTATGCTACATGGGTCTCACTGGACCACACTACACAAAATGGGATCGATCATATTTGCATCAGTAAAACGTCAGAAGTTCAGTGAGAGACGTGAGAATGAGGAGAGGAGTTGATGTAGCTTCAGATCACCATCTACCAGATGGTTGACAAGATGAACGTGAAACTGAAGAACCACTGGACAACTGGAGAAACCACATCACAAATATTCAACACAGCATTCATTCGACATACTGACAAACTGAACCAATCCAAGATAACTCTCAACAACAGATTCCAAGCCCTAAAAGATTATTTGGAAGAAGAGGAAATGGATTGAAGGAACACTAGTGTCAGCGTGTCAGGAGATTCTTGGTCGCAACAAGCATAATCATAGGAAGTCATCTCTGTCGAAACCATTTGCGAGATTTGATAAAGGAAGAACAAGAAGACGGTAATGAACAACAGTGGAACGGGAGCAGAGGCAGTCAAGGCACAATCTGATTACATTGAAGTAATCAAGCGAGTGAAGAGGGACATTGGAGTCAACAAGTGGAAATACGTGGTGGACATAGCAACAACAACGGAAAATTCGGCTAGCGAAGGAAATATGAAACAACTATATGACACAACGAAGAAATTGGTAATGAAATATAGTAAGCCAGAGAGACCGTTCAAGTACAAATAAGGCAAGGCAATGACTGAGATTCAAAAAGATAGGAATAGTTGGATAGAACAATTTGATCAACTGTTGAATAAACCAGCTCCATTTAATACACTAGAAATCCACTCAGCACCTACAGGCATCCTTATACATCGTACTCCATCAATGATAAATTAAATCAGGATGGGCATTAGACAAGTGAAGATTGTAAAAATGTAGCACGATCTGACAACATACCAGCTAAACCATTGAAGTCAGACATAGTAGTACCTGCATATATGCTCCATATTCTATTCAGGAAGATTTGATGGAGAGAAATGCAAGTGATAACAGACTGAGAAGATGAATACCATAGATATCAAGATACCAAATGAAGGAGATCTGATCAAATGTGAGAACTACAGATACATCACACCACTTTCGACACTAGGAAATGATTACAACGGAGGATTGCTGAACCGGATGGAGGATTTAGTTGATGCCCATCTTCAAGATCAACAGACAGGGTTCTGTAAGGATTGGTCGTGCACAGACCAAATCACGACACTACGGATCATCATTGAACAATCAACTAAATAGAATTCGTCACTATACACCAACTTCATTGATTATGAGAAAGTGTTTGACAGAGTGGATAGGAGAACGTAATGAAAATCTCTTCAACACTATGTTGTACTGAGAAGATCGTCAACATCAACCGGAATTCATACGATGGACTACACTGCAAAGTCATGCATGGTGGACAGCTGACAGACTCATTCCAAGTGAGGACTGTCGACAAACAAAGCTGCTCATTCTCTCTTTCTCTTTTTGTTCTGGTTGCTGAGAGGTTTAGAAAGACCCCACATTTCATTGGAAGCACTAAATACAGCGGTCAGCATGGATGCAACTAGACGATTTGAACTTTGCAGATGAGATAGCTCTTGTATCCCATACACACTAACAAATGCAGATGAAGACAACTAGTGAAGCAGCAGCCTGTGCATCAACAGGCCTCAACACATACAAGGCAGAAGTTTCAACACGGTGAACACCAATACAATCATACTTGATGGAGGAACTCTGAAGGAAGTGTAAAATTTCACGTACCTGGACAGCATCATCGACGAACAGGAAGGATCCTATGCTAACGGAAAGGCAAGGATTGGCATAGAAAAGACAGCATTTATACAGTTGTTGAACATATGGAACTCAAAACGACTGCCAACCAATATCAAAGTCACAATCTTCAGTGTGAACGTGATGACAGTCATGAATAGCAACTGGAAACAACTGGGAAAGACTGTGCACTACAGAAATCGATGGGTATGCTGATGAGTGGTCTATGCTCCTCCACGAGATGTAACAGGAGTAAATAAGTAAGTAGTAGACTACGATAATTTGATTAATATGCCAAAATACAAAACTCAATTTTCATGAGATGTATTCATCCCATGTTAAATTTATGAACTTTCGCAGAAGTGAGTATAAATGCTAGCAGATCGAGCTGGTAATTAATCATTAACTCTTTTCTCCTTTCTTTATCTAAAGATTGAGATTATTTCACAATTATAGACTAGTAGACAGTCCAGTAGTTTTTCAGAGTTACACATGTGTACACTTTTAATTTTACCTAACTAAACATACTAATTTTATTTTTCTCTTTTCTCAAAATAAATCTCATTTGCTAAGCGAACAAAGTCATTAATTTTTAGCTTTGATAATCAATCTGTGTTTTACAATTTTGTTTAAATTTCTTGTAAAAACGTAGGTTTCATTACTGAAATATGACCGATAAACTGATCTGATATTAAAGTATCTAAATGAATTGGTCTCTTTGATACATCTCGTTAGTGTTCTAAGAATAATAATCTTGGAAATTAAGGTATTTCTCAATAGATAGTGTCATTCAATATTAATGATAAAGAATAAACTTGTTACATTTTTATCAATCCTGTGTAAAAATGTTTTGATTTATTATTCTACTAGGGTTCAATACAGTCTATTTCATCGTTTAATGTGGGGAAAAAAACTAAGCTGCTATTAATATTATAGAATTTTAAATGAATTGGAAAACACTAATGCTTTTATGCATGTAAATTTTATTGTTTTCTTAAAGGATATACAATAATATGATATATCTATTAGTTTCTGACCTATGTATGCATGTATTTACACGATATTTTCACTTTCCTTCTATGAAAGTGATATCCGTCTAACAAGCGGTGACGATGATTATAAATTCCCGTAATCTTCAATAGTTTTTGTGTCATATAATGGTATTTTAATAGATATATAACTACATTATAATATAGGATGAATCATTTCATAAAACAACTTACAAAAGTTTATTCAATTTAAAACAACAGTTCCTAAGGTTACAATTTACAAATTTATTACCCAATAAGACATTAAAGAGGAAGATGTATTTGTAAAATCTCAGCGGAAGAATTTGAAGTAAACCCAACGTTTCGCTTGGCAATCTGGTCCAAGCTATTTCAAGGAAAATATAATCAAACAACAAAATTATCGAATAGAAATAGGTACATGGTTCTCTGGTTTATTGTATCCGATCAAGGTTAACAGTGTTTAAAGTATGTATTTACGTTAGTGTGTAAGAGATATGTGATGTGAAACGAAAAGTGTTAAGATAACAGATTGTGTGTATACGTAAATGAGAAGGAATTTCATTCAACTAAGATTACATTCAGCGTTGGATTTACTTCAAATTCTTTCGGTGAGATTTTACAAATACATTCTTCCTCTTTAATGTCTCGTATTAACTCGGTGCCCAAATACTGTGAAACTATTCTTTCGAATTTAGACGAAAGTTCTTATTTATTACCCAATAACTTATTTGCTGAAAATGTAATGTTTCTTTTCTAATTTGATATGCATTATAACAATAACAGCTGTGTGAAATAGTTGTAACAATTATAGTCAAATGATTAGTGTTTGTGATCAAAGCAGTTGCCGAAATAGCCTTGTTTTAGTCTGTAAGTAATCCTGAAAAGGAATACTTCTGAATCGTTTCCTACAGTTTCTTAAATAATACAGAAATGAAGGAATGAGAAATCTAATGTATTTTTTTTCATATGTATTAAAGTATTAAAGTCACACAGACCAGCAAGCCAAATAATTGTTCCTTACAAAGAACTCAATTATTATCCACTTTGTGTTTTTATCATCACATAGTTTCATGAGTACAATCATAAATGTCTATTATTTTATATGCATATATATAGGTCTACATATTCTCTCTATTGATAGATATATTATGAATGATTTGATTATAATTTACGGTCATACTACTTAAATATATACTAAAACATTCTGTTCTCGACGATGTATCAACGGCGATAGTTGTTGAATTTTTATTTCAATAAAAACAATTATACATGTGTTGGTCGATATGAATCTTGGTAAATAATTGCAATAATTGATCATAATACCATGCCTGTCATGTCGTTTAACTTATTTGGATAGAAGACGTAGATTCATTACGCTTATAATTGGTATCGAAAACCATAATTATATTAAAAAAACAAACACACTCATCAATTACACTCTGTAACTAGATCATACAATAATAAGCTAACATAAATGTGGTCATGTGTGCATTTGTGCTTCGGATTCTACTTTTATAGCATTTGTGTATGTGTTAGTGAAAGCAGAAACACTGTCACATACAATATGTTGAGAGTATATATATAGGATTAATCAATTTTGTTTTTGTATACTGGAAACTCTTTAAGAATTCTTTACGTAAACAATTAAAGACTCTTGGCAATAAATATCGACAAATTCTCTTCATTTAAAAAAAAATAAATCAATTCAAATAGACAAGTCAACCTACTATGCCAAGAACGATTAAGAGACCCCCGGAAGTTGAGGATTTTGAAAAATGCCTTCATAAGCATGCGTTGGTTAACACGTTTCTGGAAGTAAGTTCACCTTATACAATTGGAAGTTTATTGTAATGTCCATTTTCACATCTGTTCATCTAATTATTAGTATAAACAGTTGAAAGTTTAGTGATTTATTTGTTCATTGTGGACTGCAATAATAATTAATTCTTCGTTGGCACATAAACTCCTTGGATGAGTGAGTTGATAACGCCATCAGCTAACCAATGATTAACTTTTGTGTGATGAATTCAGATTTCAATCAGATCTAAAAAATTGTCGATTTGCAGCTCCTTCAAATATCGAGGTATCAGCCTATGGAGTTCATATTTGCTGAAAGTTAATATAAAAATACAACTCTTAATATCAACAAAGAGAAAGTACAAGCAGAGGTGGATAAAACTATTCTCATTGGAAATCTACTTTTTATTATTATTTGTAAATAGGTTAGTTGATCTTCCATTATTTAGACGAAATTCACTTGAATTTCGAAATGCAGAAACTATCGTCACATATTTTTGCAAAGATGCTTGTTGTTCCGTGAAGCCACTAATTATTGGTCTGAACCGTGTTTGGTTAGCATAGACTATGTGGTTGAGCTCTGCATGATTATCGTAACTAATGACTGGATACAATCGCTGATGTAAACTGAGGTCTTTCATAGTGCGGTAAATCCGTTTTTAATGTTTTTTTGCATAGAAGTTCAGTTCCGAAGATATTTTATACTTTAGAATTCCTTGAGTTCCCTCTTGTTTTCTGAATCAAACTGTCAATATCTGCTCTTCTCAGCTACCATTAACACCGTTAATAATCCTACTCCTTTAGAATTTATCTTATTAATTTCATATTGTTGTGTACATGCGGTGTGACAAATCAAATAGATATAAATAACTGTCAAATTCTGCGTTGTTTATGACTGGCTGATGAATCGCTTAGGGTCTATTGACAAATAATGTCTAGAGCTTCTGCATGCCACTTTTTTGATAATTATAAGCATTCAGTTTATTTCATATCTATTGTGTTAGACGTCGAACACTTTAATTAAGGCACAGGATTATTTGAGTTGATTGATAATTATAATGAAAGTTTAATAATAACGTTTGTATAAATAACTAGGAGTGAGATTTACAACAGCAAACTTCAGTCTCCAATTATTATTATTAATTCAGTTTTCCAAATGTTTATAGCCAAATTTATCCATAATGCGTTGATCCAAACAAAGATAAAGGGATTTATTACTGAATGATAGAAATTGTTAGTATTAAATGCTTATCTATCAGGTTGGTCTAAAGCTCCGTGTAAATTATTGATAATTACGGAAACAAATCCTACTGCCATATTCAGTCGAGGATTAGTAAAAATTTGTAACTTATCTCATTGCATTATATCAATATTTAAAATCAAATATCCGTTAACACTAAGTGAGCAGTTGATGTTGACATTATTGTTCTACAGAGATTACAAACTGAATAACATACTGGTAATGTCTGCAATTGTAACTTTGAACGGTGAAGGTTGAAACAGTAAGGGCAATGTTAATCATCACATTATTTTATATATTTTCTACTGATGACAGCCAACGTTTACGAAATCTAGATTTTAACCACACAACTCCAGTATTATATATTATCGTCTGGGTAATTAGCTCATGTTTTGATCGAATTACTGATGAAATGACGAGTTTTATGACAGGTCATTTAAAGGTAAATTCTTTTATATTTTATTTTTCGACGGATATACTGAATAACGTGTAAACATATATTCATGAATACCATTGAAAATTATAGTAATGATATTTTTAAAGTTGTACACATCAAATACCGTCATAAAATTATAAGAAACTGATGTTATATTACTCACTTACACCTGTTTCCCCTCGTGGAACATAGGACTCGACCAGGTCTCTTCAACCAACTCTAACTATGCACTCTCCTTTCTAGTTGTTCGCAAGTGCATTACATTCCCTTAATGTCTGCCTCGCGTTCCTGACTCAAGATGTTCTTTAGTCTGACTATTTTACCATTTCGTTTGGAATTTCAAGATAGGGCTTCTCTAGTGATTCAGTCTAATGATTCACGCAATGTGTGCCCTATCCACTTTATATATATATATATATTTACCTGTATCCAGTATATTTAGTATTGTCCGCCTCAACTTACATCCTAACAAATTAATGATAAATAGGTCTGATATGTAAAATTTCATACTATTCCAATTGTTACTATAAATTGTTATTCATATTTCATGCTATACAAAACGTATAATTTGTAAGTCTAAAATCATGTGAAAATTATGTTTAATTAAGTAAGGATGCATCTAGATAATTTTATGTTTTAGAAATCTATGCATTTATTAAATCCAAACTTTAACATCCCAAATGGATATGCTACAAAAGTGAATGACAAACCATCAATAAATATGAATAGTCAGACAATGTAAGTTGTTTCATTATTATCTTTACATTATGTTAGATAAATTATTTGTATACTTAATCATTTGATAACATTTATTAATATCTGAGTATTACATCGTTATATTTTTCTAAAAAAAATTCCCTTATGAATATTTATAACGAACCGTGATTTTCATAAATTTAATTGAATTTATACTTATACCATTAATTTTTATAGTTGTCATTCCTGACTGGCTTCAAGTGATACTTTCTGGGGTTCTTGTGAGAAGCAGTGATCAGTGAAGCTCAACCGACTCTGTTGTGAGATAGTAACTCACTGAAGACAATAGTGGATGTGTCGCTCAATTTCATGAATTAGTTGAAGTTAAACATTAAAACCGTTGGATGCCGGCCCAGTGGTCTAGTGGTTAAGTGCTCACTCGCGAAACCAGTAGGTCCTGGGTTCGAATCTCGCAGGAGGCGAGGTCGTTGATGCGCACTGCTGATGAGTCCCACAGTAGGACGAAACGGCCGTCCACTGCCTCCAGATTTGCCATTGTGGTCTAGCTTCAACTTACTCATGATCTTAGCCATTGAAATTCCTATAAGACTCAAAGATTCAGTAAACGTACAATGGTCTTTTAACCTAATATAGAAATATATAGTAATACATAAAAAACGCTTATTATTACTTTATAATAATGACAATGACTTATAGATTTTAACACTTTTACTATATGAGATAAGAGCTTATTCCAATAAGTTTTTTTCGATTACACTGTAGTGAACAGAACACGGGTGGGGACAATCGAATGTATTTAACATTAAATTACATGATTTGTTAGTAAAATCTAACAATCATAAAGTAAATGCTTAATTTGCAAAATGTCCATCGATTGTCTCATAATGACTCAGACTTCATTGTTCTTGCATTTTCAAACAAATTACATCCTGTTTCCATTTTTTAGTGTTCGCTCCTCTTGTCTCTCTGCTGCTAGACCTTCTTTTTACGACTAATATCATATACTACTTATGTCAATATAAGTAGCATACACCACAACACTATTGTCATTTCAGTTGTTCACTATACAATGAAAAAACAAACAATTTTACATCAGAAATTAAATGGCAAAGTATACGATATAAAGATATAATTATCTTTTTTTTAAATATATGTATTCTGAACATCATATTTACATGAATGGAACAGTAGTCTTCAGTAATTTTTGTACTACCTTTCAACTTGATAATTTAGGATAATTAAAATCATTTTATCAAAGATAATCTTATACAAACATTATTTTAATTTTTTTTATAGAAGAATAATATTTACGTATGATAATTTGTAACTTAACAAAACTAATCAATCTATCTGATAGTAACAGATTTCAATGGATTTACAATAAAGCTAAAAGATTTTTCAAAAAGGATGTTGTTATGTCCTTTTGGTCTGTCTACCCACTTTTGGTGCTGAGGATACTTATCTAATACAGATTAGGACCTCGGCGCAATAGGCTGACCGACCTAACCTTGAGGCTAGTACGCGTGAGTTCAAAGTGGGGTAGAGAGGAAACTATTCTATCACCTGATTGGCTGACAAGCACGCAAATGAGAGAAGACAAGAAAACCGGAACACAACTCGATCTATCCCCAACATCCTGATTTCAGTTCGGATTAGTGTAAAAAGGTACATGAATAAATAAGTGGATAACCCGACCAAAACTTACGATAATTAGGAAAGATACAATTATATCCAAAGCTGGGGCTTATAGTAGAAAATAGGGTGCAAAGTATTATGTTTAAATTACATTAGCTTCGTAACAGAAAAGAGTATTGCAATGAATCATACATCGAACGAAAGCTTATGTTCTGTAGAACAGATAAGGGAAAAATGTGTGTTTTACAAGCTTTGAATAAAATGGAATAACGTCCCGAAAAATAGTTTTCGTAGTTTGTCAGGGCTTCTTGTTTCCTTGTTCACATCAGACGTTAATTTCAAATATCGCAAATATGCATATATCTTCTTATGAAGTAATACATTGAAAATATATTTCAAAGACTATATCTAATCGAGGATAGGTTTATTGGTTTTTACATATGACAAGTATACTAATAAGTATCATGTCATATTTATTATAGATTACATTGTGAACGAATTTATTTATGACTTAACCAATTGACTTGATATTAGAAACAAGAAAAAGGATCACCACATTGTTTTTCCTAAACTATTGATGTTTTCTATTGTTTTTACGTAGTGATCATTTAGCGTACATCATATCTGATATCAGTTTTTTGATATCTCATTAAATCTGTAAAATTACTTGTATTCAAACTACATATTGACAGTTTACATATAATACATCCTTTTATCTGTCGACATTATCCTTTATATATTTTATAGCTACATGTTATTTTCATTATGCTTATTGTCTTATTTTGTAGGGTAGAAAAAGAAATTGATTGCATAAAACAATTCGAAAGACAACTTCCACCAGAATATCCATGCATTACAATATATTTTTCTGATATGGAATGTGATCTAGAAAGGAAATGTATATTGTATATTGTAAGAAGATGGGATCGAGATGATCCATTTGTTAGTATGTCACCATTTTTGAATGAATTAGAAAGAGATTATGGTAGAGGATGGAAATTTGAACGAGTTACTAATCCAATTAAAGTTGGCCGTATAAGTACTTCAACAAAACCTAAATCAACCTTTTGTTTTCGCTATGAACCAGATTGTTATATATATAAGTTTTATAGCGATTAAGAAATTGAACGACAACGATTAATTTGAAACAATACAAATTGATATCAAACTTCAATACTTGTTGTTTTTCTTCATGTACCGTATGAAGTCTTATAATAATGCGTTCTTTGTTTTGGTGTTATTGTAGAAACGATGTAGTGTGGATTAACAAGTGAAGAGTTCGTTAGATTCATTTTATCACATTATTCGCTTCTGATAAATAATTTTACTCGTAAAGGATAAATCACTATGAAAATGTTGTTGAACGCTTGTATTTATAGCGAAATGATATTTAGTCAGTATAAGATAGTAACCAGTCCATCAATTCTGATGGAAACAGTTTAGGTGTAAGTAACGAAGAAATTTCTTTTTCTTGAATGTCTAACAGCAGTGTTTTACTTAAAAATGCTGAAATCAAAGATGTTATATAATTCAATAACGTGATCCTTGAAATCTAGTATCCATGATAAATATATCAACTACATCAGTAAAAATGTTTTGAATCTACAAAAATCCAGAGAGCTGATACTGTTACATGTCTTACAAGGTGGTTGTCCCGTGAATGTTAAAACTAAGCATAATATATTAGCACTGATCCAATGTTTTCTTATCAAAGTGTATTCCGATTCTGTATGCCTGCTTTACTGTGTCTAAGGATATTTGACTGCACACACATGAATAGATTTTTGTCACTATAATAATAGTACAGGTTTATGACTCACAATCACTAATCATCAGTGTTCAGCCTCGAAACATACTAACCATTTCTCTGCCTAAAAAATTGAAAATTACAATATTACTAATAGCAAAAGTTAATCTTAGACTATTAAGCAAATAAACGGAACTGTACTTCATCTAATGAATGAAACAAATCATAAAGTTTGATAGGTCCTTTGTCAAATATTTTATACAAATTTAGTTATATAGAATCAAATGGAAAGGATCAATATTTATGTCTTCCAATACACAAACAGCGAAATAATAATAAATTATGGTTGAAATTTGTTAACATATCACATACATATTAAGAAATCACACTATCAAATTAAAACAAAAAATATATAATGATTAAGCTTTCTTTTTGGATACAGTAATTTTAAAATAGAAAATGAAACCAGAAAATGGACCACCTAGTTAAATATGAGATTTTAAAGTACAGTAATCGATCCTATAGATGATTATTATAAATAATGCAGAAGCTAAAAGACAAGAAAATAATAATAATCAATCGTTTCAATGTGTTCATTTCGCAGTTACATTCCCTTTTCTATGTTAACTTTTCGATATCAGTAAGAACTCAAGAGTAATAATATATAAACAGAAATAATAAATAATGAATAGCCTAAGAGATTAGGAGTGAATGAATAAAATTACTAGAAATAAGACACTTTAAGAACTTGAATTAAGCTTTCTTTACAATTCAGTTTATACATTAGTTTGGAGATGAAGCTTAAGATATTTTCGAAGAGACTATAGTTTATGGACGACGTTTGAGCAACGCTAGACTGACCTTGAGAGTGTCTACCTGATAACTAGGACCAAATGAGGGTTATAAATTAGTATGAGGATTTCTAATAATGATTTTCACATGATGGTTAAGGTTATGAATTAAATTTAGGGTTTTCATCACGAACTGACATCAGCTATAATGCCAAATGGTTGAATCCGAGACCTGCTATCTTATACGTGATTGGTTCATTCATAAATTATAGTCTCTAATTTATGGACGAGCCAATCAGAAGCGTTTGAGCAATTTCAAGGTCACGGAGCTAAGTTCAACACCTGATGCTCACATACGATCGGTTTACAGCGGATTTTAGAGAAAAGGTGATTATTGAGCGGCTACAATAGATGAGACTACTAAGAAGTTCCTGTACCTGTGACTGCGGTTATCAAATGACTTCAGTAAAGTGTGCAGACTATCGTGATGAGATTGTGTTTCGTTGTTTTTCATGTTGGTGGAAAAAGTGTGCTCGAACGGGGACTTTCTTCGCTCGATTGCGACTGAAACTGAGGCAAATCATGATAACAGTTTCAAATTGGATAATAAAGACACCAGTAACACTGGCTGCGGTGTTTGCAGATGTTACTGAAACTTCAGCAGTCCATTGGTATGAGTATTGTCGTGACATATGTGCACTTAAAATGACACGTCTACACCAATCATTCGGAGGAGTAGGAAGTATTGTGGAGATAGGTGAAACAGTAGTGAGAAAGCGAAAATACAACAGGGGGTGTAGTATCAAGGAAGATTAGGTAAGTAGCACTTCTGTACATTGGAATGGTGCCCTCTACTGTACTCTCAACCGTAACAAAGAGCAAATACTTTTGTCAGTAAGATTGTGTACCAAACAATAAGTGAAAACACTTGTTTCCGGCTCGATTTCTATAATGTATGTTTCTTTAAGTATGCACTTTTAATACAATGTATTTTAATTAGATTTCAACTAAACTCTATGTATCATTCTAAGATATGTAAAAAACAATTGTTACCTTAATTCTGAGTGACTGAATAATCGCACAATAAGTTTTTTGAATAATACAAACATAAATACATCCTAAATCTTATGGAACTTCTAATAAGTGTATACATACAATGTAACCTTGAAACTATAACTTGATGCCAATCATGACTACAAGTATGATTTTGAAAATTAAAAATTTTAAAGAATAATTAAAGAAGTATCAGTAATTCAACACGAATAGGATAATTAAATTTGATTATCTTTATTTCTACAATCTAGTTCATGCTTAATTGAAGGAATAAAAAACATCATCTCTTCAATTAGTTTATGCTAACTGGATTTAAGAACATTTAAATTTGTAAGGATACTTAATCTAGTAAAATTTCTTGATCGCTCATACATGATAGAATATATTTTGTTTACTTACGATGTTCCTAAAAATAGTGATTTCACCGATTAAACAAAATGAAGGCATACTCAAATGTATTTCTGTAAATAGAGCAATCAGAATACCCGAGAGTTATTGAACGAACCTTGAATGGTGCAGTAAAGTAAATGTTTGATATGAATGCGAACCGTCTATATGCATCTCGAGAATGCACTGAATTATGGCGTTTGAAAAGTTATCCAAATAAAAAATGGCAACATATCCAATAGGGGATCATTGAAATTATCAAGCGGAGCGTACTTTCATCCCGACTTTATATACAATCTTAATTCGGAGAAAACTATGGGGGTCTTTAAAAATTGCTAACCCCTACCCACGGAACAACCATTAACTGCCGAATGAGGTCAGAAGACAAGAAAATAAGTGAGTTCTTGAAATCTCTGTGCTCTCGTATGACGTCCTTTTAATGAAACCATATCTGTTTATCTTATCACAATGTTAAAATTGTGTAGTCCTAATTTTTCTCTCTTCTCGAAACAACACACTTAGAGCCCATAAGAACAGTCCATTTATTCGGAATTAGTCAAATTACTATATGCTAAGTATACAGTTTTATGCTCAGTCATTAAGCAGTGTATAGCTAGGCTACGAGGCATTACATTAGTACTTTTATTGGATTTGCACAAAAAATAACTGTGACAATCGAAAGATCTTTTCTAAGGAATAATGTAAACATACTGTAGTGAACGAAGACTTAGTGAGGATAACCAAATTATTACTTAATGCATCATTGCAGAGTACCTTCATAAAATATGAAAATATACATTAAATACATTATTTGTACATGTTTGTTCAGTTGTCCTTTACACGCTTCATGATTTTTTTCAGTTCCGTTTTTATTACAATCACTCTCTTTTTACATTCCTTTTCTCTTCAATTTGAGCTTCTCAATCTTCTGTTACTGGACATTCCACTTCTGGTTGATGTTACATACTATTTACATCTGCCATACACTACAATACCATCTCCCTGTTCTTACCAAGTAAAAATGTAGAATAAATATAACTGTAAACCTCTAGTAACAATATAAACTATTCATAGTAAAGAAAGTTTGAAATTATAAACCTTACAGTTGACAACTTGTTTTTAAATTTAAAAAACAATTTTGCTTCATAATCTCTATGAATATTTCTATTCACATCTGTATAACAACGTATACTGATTACACATTCATATGAAAATAATGACATTCGCATCACTTTATCTCATAGAGAAATTAACAATAAAAATCACTTAGAAGTACAATAAGAAGAACAACTGAAAGCAAACTTTTAAATATTGCATAATCATTAATAAAAAAAACCAATCCATGAAAGTTAATACATCGCAAATTATGCCATTAATTTTTAAAAAAAATGCTCAAAGTGTTAGAGTAGTAGATATGGCTAACAAATTTCTCCTGTGATAAACATTTTGTCACTATTACAAACGATCAAATTACTCAATTATAGTTCTTCTAAATGAATATCTATGAATGAATAATAAAAATAGCTGTTAAGATTGGTAACAAAATCACAATCTCAGATAAATTCAAAATAAAGTGTATTACCCATAGAAAATGAATATATATTCAATGAAATCTTTGAATATAAGTTTTTAGATGAGCTTGATCTGAAAGTAATGCTCTTATTTAACAATGAATCAGTGAACGTTTCTTCAGTCAATAGTATGAACATTCTAACCGTTATAGAGGCTATCGTAAAACCTGTATTCATCAATGATTGAATACTATATATAACGTGATACGATTAATGGTAAAACATAAACGTTCTTAATCTACTACTACAACTGTGATGATTCTCTTACAATTTGTCAGACACATAGAAATGTTTTCCAAATTATAATTATAAATATCACATTTTAACAAACATCTAGTACAACTGTGGGGCCCGTTATTTTGTAGTCGTTTTAGATCGAACGATGTTGTCGAAAGGGCTCTCCACTTTAGTGGTCCGTGGATCTGACTCCAATTAGATCGTATGAATGTTTTTTATCGCCCATCCTCGTGTATATTCATCGACTTTAATCGCGTTAGTCAATAACGGGTTTAGATAAGTAAAATAACGAGAATGGACTTTTGAATATATATATTTTGTATATAAAGCGAA